CAGCCTGTGTCCCTCACCCGGGACCCTCTCCGGTTGGGATGGAGCCAGGGGACCCCGCCGAAGTGCACGGATGCTCCCGGGACATCTGCTGTCCAGGGTCCCGGAGTGCCAGCAACTGACAGCGTGGAAAAAACCCAACCTCCAGTTAATCCGCACAAGCCCAAGAAATAAAATAACTTCCTTCAAAACAAAATAGCTTTCTGCCAGAGCATTCCTGCCTGATGCAGGCCGCGCATCCCATGGAGAGAGCTTTCAGAAGAAACACAAAAGAGACGGTGTGTTTCACAACAGGCGTGATCAAGCCTACACCTGCGTGTGTGTGTGCCTGTGTGTGCACCCCGTCCGAGTGTGTGCATGCATACAGCAGAGGTCGTGTTTCTGTGTCCCCCCCCCCCCCCCCACAACCTAGGAACCTTAGGCTCCTCACCAGAATAGGGAGGTGGACGGTCAGGCCCCCTTAGGGTCCTCGGGTCACGGTGCTCAGGCCCGTCCGTCCCCAGGCTGGTTGCACGGCCACCAAAACCAATGCCCTCCCTCCCCAAGCCCCACCTCTCGAGCCCACCCCCGTTTCCAGTCTGCCAGGAGGACATCAGAGGTGGTCTCCCGACGGCCACACAGGGAGGGGCCCCTGGGTGAACTCCTCGTCTCCCGGTAGACCACGGGTAGCGGGTGACTCCGGACACGCTGACGTCTGGCCCTGGGGCAGGGCAAACGGAGCTTTAGCCACGGGCACCCTGGCTCTGAAAGCCTCCTGTGAGCCCCGCAGCGAAGCAGGAAGGGGTGAGGTCACTCTGGGGAGTTGGGGCAGGGGAGGCCCAGCCTGCAAGATCCCTGGTGAGGCTCTTCACACCCCCAGGGTCTGTGCCTTCCCCCAGCTCCCAAGGACCAGTCACCTCACATGCAGGTGGACCGGGGAGCCTGGCCTGCCTGCATGGAGTTACCCCTCCATGCCAGGGCCTCACCCCTTCGGCCCCTCTGTCTGGCCCCGATCAGGGCCTTGGGGGGGCGCAGCTCAGCGCTGGAGGCCTCGCCCAGCCCCTGTTCCTGGGAACTTGCCCCTTCCCGAGCACCCCCCACACAAGCCTCACCCCCTCTCTCTACCCAGCAGAGGGGTCTCAGGACACCCCGGGCAGCTCTCCCAGTCCTCCCCACACCCCAGGATGACCAAAGGGACTCCTCCCCAAGACCCCTTCCCCACCGTCCTCCTGCCACGTGTGGAGTGGGTGGCCCCTGGCCACATGCATGGTCCTCAGTCTGGGGCATCATCCTCCATAGGGTCCCTGTGTCCTGTGTGTGTGTGTGTGTGTGTGTGTGTGTGCGCGCGCGTGCACGCGTGTGTGCGTGTGCATGGCAGTGGGGAGGCATGAGGTGACTCGGGAAATTGGCTACCAGGCCCAAGTTACCCACCATGTGGGGGTGGCTGGGAAAAGATGCTTCTCCAGGGCCCAGAGTGGGCATGGGGCCTCGGGGCTTAGACAGACGGGTACAGGGCAGGGCTGGGGTGGGATGGGCTCCTGTAAGTTCTGCACCCACAGGCCCAATGGCCCAGGCTGCCCGCTCAGACCCCTGCCCTGTGCACAAACTACCCCAGCCAACCTGCTCCCCTCCCTTCCCCCTCCAGGAAGCAGGTGGGGTCAGCTCTGGAAGCCCCCAGGGGCTGCTCCCGGCCCCAGCAGGCCTACATGGTGACAGGGCTCCCGGGCAGGATAAAGATACCTGTCCCGGCCATCACAGGGTCCGGAGTGGGGGTCAGCCGCACGATGGGGCCAGCAACCCTAGCAGGTCCCACAGCCACCCCGGCCTGGGCCAGTACTCCGGGACGAGCCCTGCCTGGTCTTCCCTCCAAGCGGCCCCCATCCCTGAAGCATCTGAAGATGTCCTGTCCCTGTTACCCGGCTCCCAGGTCCTCTCCTCAGTGATGCCCCTCCACCCTTGCCCTGCAGCTGGGTCTCTGCTCCCGGCCCCCCTCCACTCCCACGTCCCCAGCGTGTAAAGTTGTTTCCTGAGGGAGGCATATGAAAGTCTCCCTCAGCAACGGCAGATTTGTCTCTCTCCTTGCGGTCCTGTTTTTTGCTTTAGCTATTCTGAGGCCATATTATTAGTCGCATACAAATTTAAACTTCTTAACGGTTCTTCATGGATTGATTCTACCATCGTTATGAAATGACCTAGCATTTCTGTACCCTCATGTCTTAAATGTTTCTCTTCTAAAACACCATATGATAGATGCTTTTCAAAATCCTCCGATCAGCCCTTTCTTTTAAGAAGCGTATTCAGTTAACTTTACTTAATGTAACAATATATTGGGGTTTCAATGCACCATCTTATTTTGTGCTTTTTATTTTTCCCACCTGCTCTTGCCTCCTTGACACTGTGGATTATTTTTCATCCATTCATCATTTCCTTTCTATCAATGTAGGGTAGTGTGTGTGTGTGTGTGTGTGTGTGTGTGTGTGTAAGCACATGTATATTTTCTTCGTGGTTATGGCCAACATTATAGCGTCCAGCTTTACCTTGACAAAGTCACCTCTTCCTCCTTCCAAACAATGCCATTTTCGTCATGTTTTGGAATTCATACATTTAATCTCCAAAACATTATTGCTGTTGTTTTACGTGGCCAAGATTGATTTTCGAATTCTCCACCTGCTTACTGCTTTCTCTGTTCTTTGTTCCCACTGGAGCTCAGGCCTCGTGTCTGGGGTCACTTTTTTCTCCCTGAATCACTTCCTTCAGGGTTTTCTCCATGGAGCACCTTTTGGTGACATACTCTCTGTCCCATCAGAGCAATTCCAGGCTGGAGGCCTTACCGGCAGTGGGACAGTGGGGGTCAAGAAGTAAACACAGCTGTCCCTTGACCTCACAGCGACTTGGGGCGGGGCGGCCCTCGGCCTGCAGAGACACAAGAGGCGACACACTGAGCGATTCCAAATCAATCCGGCCTCCTCCACAGAGGCGGGACTAGATCTGCGGTTGCCGGGGCTGAGGTTGCCGAGGACCAGTCGCAAATGGGCACCAGGGAGCTTCCCGGGATGATGGAATGTTCTGCATCTTGATTTGGGTTGTGTTGACACAGGGCATCAAAGCGTACAATGGAGTCACGTCTATTTTAGTGTATGTCAAATAGAAGTTCATATTTTAGAAATGAAGACTAAGTCAGGACTTTTTCAGACAAATGGGACCCCGGGGAATTCATCACTAACAGATCTGCAATGAAGAAATTCTAAGGGGTGCCCTTCAGCCGGAAGGAAA